TCGACGAGCCGCAGGGCCTTCCGCCAGCCCGGGTCTACGACCACCGTATTCATCTTCTGTCGGGCTCGGCACCGATGACAATACGGCCCTACCGGTATCCTCAGCTGCAGAAGGACGAGCTGGAGCGGCAGGGCGCGCTCATGCTCGCCTTGGGCATTATTCGGATCTCCACATCACTGTTCCCCGCGCCGGTCCTCCTCGTCCACAAGTCGGACGGCACGTGGCGTTTCTACATCGACTACCGCGCCCTTAATGCCCTGACTCTTAAGGACAAGTTTCCTATCCCGGTGGTCGATGAGCTCCTGGACGAGCTACATGGGGCACGCTTCTTCACCAAGCTCGATCTCCGGTCGGGCTACCACCAGGTGCGATGCACCTGGATGATATCGCCAAGACAGCGTTTCGGACTCACCACGGCCACTGCGAGTTCTTGGTCATGTCGTTTGGTCTCTCCAACGCACCGGCGACTTTTCAGGCTCTGATGAACGACGTCCTCCGCCCCTACTTGCGTCGGTTTGTGCTCGTTTTCTTTGATGATATTCTTATCTACAACGCCTCGTGGGCGGAGCATCTTCAGCACGTCCTCCGCCCCTTCCTTCAGATGCCTGACTTAGACCGCCCGTTCGTCGTCGACTGAGACGCCTCCAGTGCGGGGTTCGGCGCCGTCCTTCATCAGGGCGGTGGACCCCTCGCTTTCTTCAGCAAGCCCTTTGTCGCGCGTCATCTTAAGCTCGTGGCCTATGAGCGCGAGCTCATTGGATTGGTGCAGGCGGTGCGTCATTGGCGGCCCTATCTGTGGGGTCGGTCTTTCCGGATTCGCACGGGACCATTACAGCCTCAAGTTCTTGTTGGACCAGAGGTTGTCGACCGTGCCGCAGCACCTGTGGATCAGTAAGCTCTTCGGCTTCGACTTCTCCATCGAGTATCGTCCGGGCCGCCTTAACACCGTTGCCTACGCCCTGTCTCGTCGTGACGTCGACACCGCCGTCGATGACTCTGAGGGGGCGGCGCTCTGCATCCGCTCGGGGCCCTCTTTCGTCCTCTTCGCCGACATCCGTCGGGCGACCGCGGCCGCGCCGGACGCGCTCCTCCTTCAGCAGCAGCTGGCTGCGGGTGAGCTGGAGGAGCCGTGGCGCCTCGCCGACGGGTTGCTCCTACATGGGCGTCGGGTCTTCGTGCCGGCGCACGACGATCTCCATCACCAGGTGCTGCTGTTGGCCCACTCGGCGAGCCATGAGGGTGTGCAGAAAACCCTCCATCTTCTCCGAGCAGACTTCTACATTCCAGGTGATCGGGCCCTGGTCCGCAACTGGGTGCGGTCTTGTGTGACGTGCCAGCGTAACAAGGAGACAATGCGGCCGGTTGGTCTGCTCCAACCCTTGGAGGTGTCATCTCAGGTCTGGGCAGATATTTCCATGGACTTCATCGAGGGCCTCCCCAAGGTGGGCGGCAAATCGGTCATTCTCACGGTGGTTGACCGCTTCTCCAAGTATGCTCACTTCGACGCGCTCGGCCATCCCTACATTGCGGCGTTCGTAGCCCGGGCCTTCTTCGACGGTATCGTCCGCCTCCACGGGTTTCCCTCTTCGATCGTCAGCGATCGGGACCCGGTGTTCACGGGGCATGTCTGGCGCGATCTCTTCCGGATGGCGGGCGTGAAGCTCCGCCTGAGCACGGCCTTCCACCCTTAGACGGACGGCCAATCCGAGGTCGTCAATAAGGTGATTGCCATGTATTTGCGTTGTGTCACAGGTGATCGTCCTCACGCGTGGGTGGATTGGCTCTAGTGGGCGGAGTACTGCTACAACACCTCCTATCACTCCGCCCTACGCGCCACGCCATTTGAGGTGGTTTACGGCAGACCGCCCCCGGCCATCCTACCAGTTGATCCAGCGACGGCTCGGACGGAGGCGGCCGGTGATCTTCTGCGGAGCCGTGACGAGATGGAGCCGTGACGAGATGCTGGCAAAGGTCCGGCAATGCCTCATTCAGACCCAGCAGCTGGCCAAGCACTACTATGACGACCACCATCGCGAGGCGGAGTTCACGGTGGGTGATTAGGTGTGGCTGCGTCTCCTTCACCGCTCTACGCAGTCACTGGACCCACGCGCGAAGCGTAAACTGGGTCCTCGCTATGTCGGGCCCTTTGCTGTCTTGGAGCGCATAGGGAAGGTGGCTTACCACCTTCAGCTTCCGGCCGATGCTCGCATCCACAACGTCTTCCATGTGGGGCTGCTCAAGCCCTTCCGTGGGGAGCCACCTGCGGCCCCTCCCGCGCTTCCTCCGACCTCCGACGGGCGTCTTCTTCCGGGACCGGAGAAGGTGTTGCAGGCCCAGCTATGCCGCGGAGTGTGGTACGTGTTGATTTAGTGGGCTGGACTTCCGGAGGAGGAAGCCACTTGGGAGCAACGCGAGGAGTTCCGCCAACACTACCCAGACTTCCTGTTCGAGGACGAGCTGTTTGCGCAGGCGGGGAGAGATGTTATGATCGGGCAGACTTATGCCCGTAGGAGGCCCACCGGGCAGGTTTAGTTAGGGGCTTAGCCCACAAGTTATCTTATTTTTATTCACATCGTGGTTATATAAACAAGTTGTAAGACTCTTTTGAGAGTTAAGCAATAAGACAAATCCTATTGCCCGGCTCCCAGAGGAGCCGAAACCCTAAACCCTAGCCGCACCTTGCGCCGCCGCCGCCTCTTCTTCAGCGTGCCACGGCGCCCCGTTGCCGGCAGCCGCGCTCGCATCTCCGTCCACCCTCCTCCTTCCCGTACAACCTCCGCCCTAGACCCGGTAGGGTCCTAGCTCCTACCATGCATCTTCGTCAGCGCCACGCAACCAAGACCTCCATAACGACCTCACCGACCAGCGTGGCGAAGACGCCCGCGTCCAGATGGAGCGTCATCGGGCGAAGGACAATGTAGTTCTCGTGAACGGGTTAGTGTTATATGGCGTGGGTTGCCCTGTGTTCGTGCCCGAGCTGCACCAAGTGGTCTGGCCGCCCAAGTTCAAGTCCAACGCGCCCGTTGAGTACAATGGCAAGACCAATCCTATCGAATTCTTGCACATGTACATCACCGTGATGCACGCCTCAGGGGCTGAGGACACAGCTATGGCCAATTGGTTCTGGCCCTCAAGCCCAATGTCGGTACTGGTTGATGAACCTCCCGGCAAAATCCGTCCGCTCCTGACACGACCTATGCGATCAATTCGTTGGGGCTTCCAAGGTCGATTAAGGGCCCAGGAATCAAGAGCGATTTGCCTTCTTGTTCAGAATTCAGGCGAACCCTTACGCAAGTACATCCAGAGATTCGGCCAGGTGCAACAAGCATTCCCACATCGACGCTGCAACAGCGATTGACATGTTCCACGCGAACGTGCGCAATCCCAAGATGCGCGAGAAGCTGAACACGCACCAAGTGCGCACTATATACGAGCTCTTTCAGCTGGCTAATAAGTGTGCGCGCGTGGAGGAAGGTAGAAGGATTCCCAGGGAAGCTCCCATGGACAATGATGTAGCCGAGACATCTAGTGGTCCCGGCAAGAAGAGAAATCGTGAGCATAAGCAGGGCTAAGTCCTGGACACGGAGCTTGATCCCACGAACTCAAGGATGGCGAACAAGGGGAAGCTTTAGCTGCTGCTGATCACAATGTCGTGGTGCACGGTCCACATGAGTACCATGCACGACCTCAAGGATTGCAGGAAAGTGAGGACACTCACCGAGGAGCGGTGCAAGGTGCAGAAAATAAGAACGGTTGTCGCAGGAGCTCAATGCAGTCGAGACTCGTGTGGAGGCCACACAGCCACTCAAGTGGTCCGCCATCCCAATCACGTTCGATGTCGGGGATCACCCTGACTGCAGTCGAGACTCGTGTGGAGGCCACACAGCCACTCAAGTGGTCCGCCATCCCAATCACGTTCGATGTTGGGGATCACCCTGACTGCACAGGGAGCGTTGGTATCCTCCCACTAGTAGTCTCGCCTACAATCAACAACATCAAGGTCACTAAGATGTTGTTTGATGGTGGCGCTGGCCTCAACCCCCTCTCCAAGAACATGCAGATCCTGGCAGGGCATCTTCACCCCATGGGAACGTTTCAGGGAGTGAACCCAGGATCCACTCAGCCGTTTGGATAGGTTACCTTACCGGTCACATTCAGCAATCCTGACAACTTTCGCACAGAGAGCATCACTTTTGACATTGCTGATACCCCAATTCCCTACAACAGCATACTACGGCGGCTCGCGTTGACCTGGTGGCATCTCATTATGCCTACAACGCCCTCAAAATGCAAGGGCCTTGGGATGTTATCACCATCAAAACTGACAAGAAAGATGCCATTTACTGTGTGCAAAGGTTGTACCGGATGGCAACGGAATATGACGACACGTGCCTCTCACATTTAGTGAGTTAGGTGCTCCACTGTACAACTACCATATTTACTGCCCTGTAGCAATTATGGCCACCCCTTGGAACTATAAAAGGAGGTTCGTGCTACCCAGATCATGGTTCGACTCTCAGCAAGTCTACACCCACATACTAGAGCCCGTTTCTTAGTCCCGGTGGCCTCGGTAACGGAAACCATCTCTTGTAAACTTTGTTCATCACATCGAGTGAGCAAATCCAGCAATATGTAGGGCGTTACGCTTCACAGCGGCCCGAACCTGTGTAAACATCACCATGTCGTAGAGGTAGGATTTGTGTGTCTCTTCGCCCCTCACTGAACCAAAAATGGGGGCATCCCTTGCTCCCTGGTATTGTGTTTCCCACACGCAACAATACTTGAGCAAGCGCCCTGGTTGAAAGTACTACAAACTAATAAGGGGACAATTCAGTTCAAGTGCAACTTTTTGTTTCCATCTAGTATAATCAATTTTGATCTTGCAAAGCATGCTAAGTCTAAAACAAGTTAGAATTCCAATAATTACCATGATAAAAATTGCTTCCCCGGTGTTTGATATTATCATGTATAACTCATGAAAGTAAGTTGATGTCACATACCAACAATTTCATCAATTATGCATGTTAGACTACTAGAATCAAGTTCATCTTCGGTTATGACCCTTGCTCCCATGACATCTGCCATGATATACGCATTTTTCGTTTGATGGTCATCCACAATTGTCGGTAAGGGTATCTGAAAGAAAGAGAAAACAAATTATCTAAACAAAGTTGCATGGACAAATTTGAGAAAAAGGATAAAACGTGTAACATGTACTGTAGTTTGGTCTTGCAGTTTGTGGCCAATAAATGCACATTATTAGTCCACCTTTTCTATTAACTTAAAATAAAAAATACTTTCAGCAGCACATAGGTCTTTGGCACAGCATGACGGCATTGGTCATTTTATGGGCCTGAGAAGTGAGAAGACCTTTCTAGTTGCTGCACTCCAAATATGTTACTATATGGTTATTCTTTAAACTTTGACACAACTCATAGCATCAATTTCATTAGAACATCCAAGTTTTTTTTAACACAGCAAAGAGGAATTGGTTTTAAAATATGCAAAATATTAAACATGAAAGTTATAATTTGAGCACAACAAAGGTTAACCTGGTTGCATTCTGTTGTTAAATGGTAGAATTAGGTACATAAAAATAAAACAAATGGAATTACATAACAAGTAACTTGATGTGATATATGATACCAGAATTGCCGGTTTCCCAGTGACCAATATCTCAGTGCAAGCCACAGAACCAGCTCGAGAAACGACAACATCAGTAGCAGCATATGTCATGTCCATTTCATGCAAGAATCTTCATATGAAGAGATACGATAAATCAGTATGGAGAACTTACAACAAAGCTTGGAAAACAAAAATAATTCAACCAATACTAAAACTGCTCTGCTAGAGCATTACACAAATGCACATTACAAAATATCATGGACTACCAAAGATCCATACCATGTTGTTGAAATTAGAATCTGCAAATACAGACTAAGTTGATGCAGCAACCGAACCAACATCATGATTTGAGAACGCATTAGAGTTACATAACAAATCAGAACTAGAAAGAGTGTTCTTTCTTTCTTTTGTCAGTCCACTTTGATAATAGTGTTACTACTGCAAGGGAATTCATCAGAAAGAGGAAATATCTTAATACTCTCTATTTCACCATTATTCCGAGCTATGGTCAAAGTTGGATCAAGTACCATGTAAAGGTTTTGTTACCAATACACTCTAGTTTCAGAAGTGGAACATAGGCTATGAGATCATAACACAGAAATGTATCGTAATGCTATCCGTGGTGCTTGTAGGAATATCACAATCATGTCTTCTCCTAGTTCTGAATACTAATTAGTACTGTCATCATAGAAGGTAGATCTTCGCCTACTGAATGGTACCATGTTACCTAAACCATGTTTAGTTTGAGCAAAAGTGAAAAGATCACAGTTCACCTCACTACACATTCCATGTCATCAATCCACCATTTTATTTTTCTCAACATCATACAGCCAAACGGACATGCATCTTCCAAAAAAGTTTGACACATTCCCATTAATGCAGCAAGATCCCCAGTGCAGGCCAATTAACAGGAAACTGACATCCCAAGTACAAACAACGTCATACAGCCAAAGGAAGGGAACTCACGGTGTCAGAAACAGCCGGCGATGGGCCCTGACGAGGCTCTCCATCTCGCAGAAATCATCTGGTCCCGTCTGCCATATGATGTACCTATTTTTCCTTCTCGACAGCATCTCGTAATACATGTTAAGTACTGCCACATTGATCTGCGGCGATCCCACCGTCCCGGCGAGCACAAGCACGACCTCCATCCCCTCCGCCTCCACCAGCCCTGCCCTGGGGAAGAAACGCGCCATGGCGGCGGCCTTGGACATCCTGCGGTTGCGGATGGACATGCGGACGGGGTTCCCGTAGACGGCGCACTTGCGCTTCGGGAGGAGGCGGACGGGCGCGTTGAACGCGAGAAAGACGCGGCGAGAGAGGGGGGCCAGGAGGCGGGTGGCAGGGGCGGGGCCGGCGTCCTGGTCCTGGATCACGAAAGGGAGTCCCAGGAGCAGCGCGGCGAGGCAGCTGGGCAGGGCGGGGGGACCGCCGGTGGCGACGAGGACGTGGGGGCGGAAGTGGTAGAGGTGCAGCGCCGCGGCGAGGAGCGCGCGGGGGAGGCAAGGAGGGACGGGGGCGAATGGGTATGAGGAAGACGCGGCGGTGGCGGACTCGAGGGACGGGGCGGGGGCGCCGAGGAAGAGGGAGCGAGAGCCAGGGAGCGAGGCCTGGACCTCTTCGGCGAGCGCGAACGCGGCATAGACGTGCCCCCCCGCGCCGCCGCACGCGAAGGCGACGCGCAGGGAGTCGGTAACCTGTGCCTCCGAGGTGGGGGTGGGGTCACTCGAACGGGAGAGGTGGCAACGCGGGAGGCGGGCGCGGTTTCGTGTGGAGATCAGGATGCAGACGGGCGTTTTCATGGGTTGTCTGCTAGGAAGACGGCGAACCGGGAGAGGAAGCCACCTCCGGTGAGTGGTTGCCACCATTTTTGTCCACACTGACTGGTGAGGGTGGCTGAAACGGCAAGTTGTTAGCCGGAGAAGAGTTTTTTTTCTGGACGTGGTCGCGACTCGCGAGCACAGATGCTCACGACATCGTGCGCGTCCGCTAACTCATGGGATCTGGGTCAAATCCTTATATGATTCGTTTTGAAGTGTTGTAATTAGCCAGCTGCTAGGAAGACGCTGAACGGGGAGAGGAAGCCAGCTCCGGTGAGCGGTTGCCATCATTTTTGTCCGCGAGGGTGGCTGGAATGGCAAGTTGTTAGTTGGAGAAGAGTTTTTTTTTTTGAACATGCAGTAACTAGTCGTGAGCACAGATGCTCGTGATATCGTGCGCGTCCACTAACTCATGGGGATCTGGGCCAAATCCTTATACGGTTCGTTTTGAAGTGCTGGTAATTAGCCACTGTTTGGGAATACAGATGTGTGGTCGAAGAGTTAAGCAGGTCAGTGACGTGAGAGACTTGGACACATGCCGGCGATTGGCGATATGTCGTCCTCCTCTTCCTCCTAATATCCATTCCCAGCTTATTCCCCTTCCGATCCAGCCTTTCCCCGGATTTCCCCCTTCTTGATCTTCCTCCTTCCCTGTTGTAGATATCCTCGGCCTCTCTTCTTCGATTCTTCCCCCACTATCATAGCTCTGCTCCATCCCTTTTCTTCAAGCTCACTCCAGATCCCCTTTTCCTAGCCTGAGGCGTTCATATGGGATTTGATGCTGCTCCTAATGGCCTTCTTGGCTCCATACAAATGCCGCCTGGGAGCCTTGGATTGGATCTGATGGTCCTACAACAGCTAAGGGCACGGACGTTGCATTTGGTCCGCAACTCGCATGACCTGGGGAGATGCTTGCAAGTTTTGCGGGTTCAAGCGGCGACTTTCTTTCATTCCCGCGACCTGGACGTCATTGGCAAGGAACAATCCGTGCAGGTTGGTGGGTTTGTCGTTCGTCTGGACTCTGCGCCTCCTGCCTTAATGGTTGTCTCCGACAAAGAAGTATTATCTGAATCAAGTTTAGCAATTAACTGTTGAAGGCAAAGTGACTGATGAAAATTGCAGCACTTTTATTAGTTTGCGGAAGATTGTTCCTTAATTAACGGTGGAATCTAAGGCAGCTATGATTATAGGATGTACGGGAGGGGAGTTCCAAGATATTAACATGTGTCAGGATAATACTCTGATGTTCATGGACATTCATAGTGCACGAAATGGTAGGCAAGCAGGGGAATTCAGATGGCAAGGTTGGTATCCTATATTTATTTTTATTTTTGATCCTGGTGAAGTGATATCATATCAATGTTTTCATCTATGCCACTGGATATGAGGTATGATAAATTTGGTGAAGATATGGATGATCGGCAGAGAGAAATGTTTATCATGTTCAAAGAGATGGCAACGTATGGGCTATTGATATTACTTCTGTTGGAAAGGAGGCATATGAAGGTAGGGAAAATTCAAAAGAAATGGTACAGAGCCACAAAGAGGATGGTGGAGACTTAAACTCAGCCAACTCGAGATCGGCGGGCTCTCAATGAATCTCTTTAGCATGAACTGTCGGGGTTGCGGGCGGCCCGAGACAGTTCAGGAAATTTGTAGCTTGATACAGCTGCATCACCCATGCTTGGTCTTTCTCTCAGATACCAAACTGTCCGCTAAGAGAGCACATGATATGAGGTTTTGTTTGGGTTTTAGACATGCATTTGCCGTTAAATCTAAAGGTCTTTGTGGAGGCCTAGTGTTTTTTTAACACGATGACTCTGTGGTCAGCCTTAAATCTTTCAGTAGATCATGTTGATGTTCTTGTCAGAAATATAAATATGGGTGATAGAGAATGGAGGTTTAGTGGATTTTGTGGGGAACCAGCAAGAGCAAAAAGGAAGAATAGTTGGGAGTTGTTGCAGTTTCTTCGAGGACAATTTGATAATCCGTGGATTTGTGCTGGTGATTTTAATGAGGTGCTGGATGCAAATGAACAATATGGTGGAGTATACAGGGAGGAGTGGATGATGGAAGGTTTTTGTGAAATGGTGGACTTTTGCCGGTTTTCAGATTTGGGGTATGTTGGTCTTCCTTACACGTGGGATAACCATCAACAGGGCATTAGAAACATAAAAGCCAGGCTAGACCGGGCACTAGGGGATGATAAGTTCATGGACCACTTTGACAATACCATGGTTCGTCACCTTCAGAGTACAGATGCACTACTTATGAGCATTAGGCAGTCAAGTTGGCTAAATGATGGAGGTGGGCATCGAACTTTTCATTTTGAGAATGCTTGGACGAGGCATGAGAACTATAAAGAAGTTGTCGAGAAAGCTTGGGTGCACGGCCATGGTAACCTGGGGATCATGAGTGAAGCTTTAGGTATTGTGAGAACCAGGTTGCTGGTGTGGAGCATAAGTGAGTTTGGCTTTGTCTGAAAAAAGTTTAAAACTATGAGAGATCGATTGGAGCACCTGCGCTCACAATTGTTGTGCAAAGGACCATCGGCCGAAGAGAAAAAATTGATGAGTGAGAACTCAGAACTTCTGGCAAGAGAGGATATGATTGCCAAGCAATGATCGCGAGTGCAATGGTTGACTGAGGGGGTAGAAATACATGGTTTTTCCAAGCAAAGGCTAAGGAGATGGCAAGAGTTAACAAGATCAAATCCCTTAAAGACAGAGTCTAGTCAGACTATCACAATTTAGTCAGAATTGGAAACGACTGCCAAGGTCTTCTATCAAACTTTGTCCACAACACAGGACGAGTAAAGGCCGAAGGTTGTCACTGCATGTGTGCAACAAAAGGTAGATGAACAGATGAATGAACATCTTTGTTCACCAGTTACAGATATGGAGGTGGAGAAGGCATTATTCATGATGGATGCTAACTGTAGGACCTTGGAGTATGTCTAGAGGGGGGTGATTAGACTACTTGACCAATTAAAAACTTAACCTTTTCCCAATTTTAGAATTTGGCGGATTTTAGCAATCTTTGGACAAGTCAAGCAATCATCACACAAATCAAGCAAGCATGCAAAGCGTATATAGGCAGCGGAAATTAAAGCATGTAACTTGCAAGAAAGTAAAGGGAAGGGTTTGGAGGATTCAAACACAGTTGGAGACACGGATGTTTTTGGCGTGGTTCCGATAGGTGGTGCTATCGTACATCCACGTTGATGGAGACTTCAACCCATGAAGGATAACGGTTGGGCGAGTCCACGGAGGGCTCCACCCAAGAAGGGTCCACGAAGAAGCAACCTTGTCTATCCCACCATGGCCATCGCCCAAGAAGGACTTGCCTCACTAGCGGTAGATCTTTACGAAGTAGGCGATCTCCTTGCCCTTACAAACTCCTTGGTTCAACTCCACAATCTTTGTTGGAGGCTCCCAAGTGACACCTAGCCAATCTAGGAGACACCACTCTCCAAGAAGTAACAAATGGTGCGTTGATGATGAACTCCTTGCTCTTGTGCTTCAAATGATAGTCCCTCCAACACTCAACTCTCTCTCATAGGATTTGGATCTGGTGGAAAGAAGATTTGAGCGGAAAGCAACTTGGGGAAGGCTAGAGATCAAGATTCATATGGTAGGAATGGAATATCTTGGCCTCAACACATGAGTAGGTGGTTCTCTCTCAGAACTGGTAAGTTGGAAGTGTAGGTTTGTTCTGATGGCTCTCTCTTCGAATGAAGAGGAGGTGGAGGGGTATATATAGCCTCCACATAAAATCTAACCATTACACACAATTTACCAATCTCGGTGGGACCGAATCAACAAACTCGGTCAGACCGATTTAGTAAACCTAGTGACCGTTAGGGTTTTCGGTGGGACCGAAATGCAACTCGGTAGGACCGATATGGTTAGGGTTAGGGCATAACATAATCTCGGTGAGACCGATTATACAAACTCGGTGAGACCGATTTTGGTAATTAGCTAACCAGAGAGTTGGTCAGGTAAACTCGGTGGGACCGATTTGCTCTTTTCGGTGAGACCGAAATGTTACAAAAGGGAAACAGAGAGTTTACATTGCAATCTCGATGGGACCGATCGCTCACTTCGGTTAGACCGAAACGTTACAAAGGGAAACAGAGAGATTACAATCCCATCTCGGTGAGACCGAGATCCCTATCGGTGAGACCGATTTGCCTAGGGTTTGTGGCAGTGGCTATGACATTTGAACTCGGTGGCGCCGGATAGAAAGAATCGGTGTGACCGATTTTGGCTTTAGGTTTAGGTCATATGTGGATGTGAGAAAGTAGTTGGGGGTTTTGGAGCATATCACTAAGCACATGAAGCAAGAGGCTCATTAAGCAACACCTCATCCCTCCTTGATAGTATTGGCTTTTCCTATAGACTCAATGTGATCTTGGATCACTGAAATATAAAATGTAGAGTCTTGAGCTTTTGAGCTTGAGCCAATCCTTTGTCCTTGATATTTTGAGGGATCCACTTTCATCATCCATGCCATGCCATTCATTGAGCTTTTCTGAAATAATAGTCTTAGAATAGCATTAGCTCAATGAGCTATATGTTGTTATGAATTACCAAAAGCACCTAGGGATAGTTGCACTTTCAATCTCCTCCTTTTTGGTAATTGACGACAGCATATAGATCAAAGCTTCGACAATAAATTATAAGATTTGAAAAACATCGTCGCTTTGAGAAGTATGTGATAAGCAAGAGCTCCCCCTAAATTTGTGCATAGTTTAAGATTTGCTTTGGACTGTAAATTCACAAGGAATTAGGCTCATGGGTTACTCTTCCATGTCACATACATCTTGGTGGAGCGCTCAAAATAATAAAGATTGAATACATGCACTCATCACCAAACAAAGTGAATGATCATATAAGGATAGGTAAGATAATAACATATAGCAAGCATAAGTGTATCTTATGATCAAACACATGATCATCAATGTCTCACAGGTAATGCAATGTATCCTCAAGCAAACAAGTTCAACCAAGAAGACAAGAGAGAACAAAAAACAGCAAATCTCTCTC